ATATAGACTGCGATATAAAACTTTGTTTATGTTTAATTGAAAAATATGAAATGTGGAAGTATTAATAGATCTTTAGTTAATTACATTCTTCAAAAATTTTGAAAAAAAAACTCTTTTCTTAAAGAAAATTAAAAAAATCGTTTTTCTCATGTGGTCACTCCTATTTTTTTGTGGACAACTGTATGTGCCGAATTATTAGAAAATTATTAGCCAAAAAGCAAACCACAAACTGGGTAATTCTATTTTTACCAAATAATTTATGGAATGGTGTCCATTCAAATAAATTGCGAAAAGTAAAGGAGTGATATCGGTTCCCATGTTTACTTGAATTATTATCATGTCTGCAGTGTTCGTCATCTTTATAGTTGTAATTGTAGTCGCGTTTAGGATCAGCACGGGTTCGGTATCTATAACCACTGCCGTTCGTATATCCACTGCTTTTGGCGTAGTTGTATGTTGAAGCTTCCTTCTGTAGCGTCGCACGTGTATCATAAATTTTCCGTCTACGTGCTACAAGCAAGTACATATACATATATAGCTATTTAAACTTATGATATATCCCTTCGGAAAGTTTTGAAAATTCATACATACAAGTATTTAATTTTAAGTAGTTTTGTTTTCTCTTTCTTTCACCCATTTTTTATGAAATAGAAAGCTTATGCATATTAAGTGACTTATGATGTTATGGACAAAACTATTTAATTATATTCAATATAATTTACAAGGAAATTTTGTTTAGGGTACAATTTTATGGAATAAATAATTCATTATTAACGATATGCCAGTACTTACCATCCGACAAAACTTCGTAGGCCTCAGATAGTTCTCTAAATCGCATATTTGCTTCATCTAAATTGTCAGGATTTTTATCAGGATGCCACTTCAATGCCAATTTTTTATAACTGTATAAGAGATAAAAATATAGTTAACAACACACATAAGGTAAAATTCTCTATTTAACAATACCTTTCACAAGTGCATTTCTAATAACGCAAGTATTTAAAAATATCTTTCTTACTAAATAATACTAAAACTTAATTTTTATCGGTCATTTCATACGGCAGCTATATATATATATTGATGCGATCAGAGAAAGATTGCAGCGCTGCTTTAGGTAATAATTTATTTAAAATTGCGTAAAGATAATTCGTCAAATTGAAAATTTTTCCATAGGCGGTTCCGGCAAAAGAGCAATTTTTAGAAAAAAAAAGCTCGTGTGCAATATTTAAAAAACTAAAGAAACACAGACATACGAACATGGCTAAATCGACTCAGCTTGTCTCTGATCATTAATATAAATCCCTTATGGGATCTCTGACGTTTTCTTTCTTAATATACCCTGTTCAAGGGTAGCAACTGCATACATGATATATTCTTATCTACTTGTATTTTGACCTTTTCGGTATTTCTCATATCGGAAATCAAATAATAGCCGGCATTATGATTTTTAACGCATTTGATGAATTAATAGTGACATATCCATCGACAACAGTTTGCATTAACTGGTTCTATTTGTTTGAATACAAATCTGTCTCAATTATATAATTGTTGCTAGAAACTCAATCAATTTCTAATTGTGAAAGGCGTAGTTATTAAATAATACTCGAATGCAAATGCATTTTTTATGCTTTTATAAGAGTGTACAATATATACCCACATAAGTATATACATACAATATATTACAACCAAATTCGGAGGAGTTTACTTACGCTTTCTTCACTTCGCTTTCTGTCGCATCTCGCGATATGTCGAGCACTTTGTAATAATCAACCATTTTCTGTAATGTAGATTCAAAGGTCGGTGTTATTGCAGTAAGTGAATGTTTTCAAAAAGGATGTAACTAATACTATTTAAACAAGTTCTAGGTAAACATAAAGTTTAATTAAATGTTAATACAATTTTACCAATTATAATAACTACTATTCAAAGTAAATATATTTAATATTGCAGAAATATTTAACTTCTGGAATACAAGATAAATATTAAAATTCACTTTCAATTTTCTAGAATACAAAATATTCTTAATATGCTTTCATGAATTTATATTTAAAATTGTATTTTTATAATGTATTTTTTTATGTTTAATAAATAATAATGCAGTGTGTGCAAAACATGCTGTTTTCATTTTATAAAGTAGTGTTTATTGAGAAAATTTTTGTAATTGTAGAAAATACATTGTTTTATTATAATTGAAATTTACTCAATATATGCTCCAACCTCACGTGATGTAAAGCAACGGTTTACAGGTATATTTATACTCCTACCACCTGTTTCCACAAAGTATAATAGTTTTGTTCGCCTAACGGTTGTATAGTATATATATATACACACAAATAAATATGTACATTTATATATATGATAAGGTTGACGAGAAAAGTTGAAATCTGGGTGAATGTCTGTCTGTCCGTGCAAGATGTGACGCCCTCTAATAATTTTTTGACTAAATTTAGTGCGTAGTATTCTTCTCCTATAGTCCAGTTATTTAAGCTTAAATTAGGTAAGAATCTCGGAATTCGAGATACCCAGGTGTAAGTCTGTAAATACTTGTATATTGACACCCTAAAAGTTGTCTCAAAACCTACATATGGTAGGGTGTACGCCACTATTAAATTTCAAGGTCAAGGACCGACATAAATCGGTTTTTTGCGCTTTGGTTTTTTATAAATATCTCATTTCCTATGGAATTTTTTGCTATTTCTATTTATTATCAATATTGTAGAGTACAAAATTCTCTACAAATTTTGTTTGAAAAAGTATTTCATACGGTGAACCGTTTTCAAGATAGAAGGCGGAGAGCGCGCGGTCACATCATCACTTCATGTCAACCGGTACCTCCGGTCAAAAACGCGCCATATATACATACATAGTTGATGAACTACCGATAAATCAATGATTATAAATATTTGTCAATTTTTATTAACTTCTATATTATATTTTATCATTTTCTTCATGCCTTAATGATCATTTAAAAACAAAATGTACTTCAATAAGCCATGCAATTATGGCTGCCATACGGGAACGTTCTTTTTCATCACAGTTATTTTTGAGCCTTTCTGTATTTCTATATCTATTCAATAATACTGATCACCGTTTTCTAAAATTAAAAAATAATTAAGGGAAAAACTTAAATCATAATATAATTATATTCCTATTAATACTAATGCAATTTTAAATAGAAAATAATTAAGTGCATTTTTAAAATCTGTAAATTTTAAAATCCTTCCACTACGTCAAAAATTATACCTGGGAATTATACGGGCCCCTATTATACACTACGGACCTTTCTAATTATAGCCAGTAGGGACAGATGTTCCAGATGTATGTTACGACCGTCTTCTCTTTGTTTCATTTTGAATCGTATCTTGATAAATTACGGACGTACAATGGCTGATTTGTCTTTTCTATGTAATAAGTCAGATTCGGGAGGTGAATCGCTTGTTGAAGTAGTGCGCGGTACGAAATCTCTACGAACTGCAAGTGTCGAACGAAACGACCGAAAAACTGATTATTTAAAATCAGTAACCTCTGTCAAAGTGCATGAAAAGTGTCGAAGTATTTACATTATTAAAAACTATATCCAAGCAGCAAAACGGAAACAAGAAGAAGGAGAAACTATAACTTCTCCATTAGTACTCCGTAAAAAACGAGGTGAAGTGTTTGATTTTAAGAATCAATGTTTACTTTGTGGCGAAGTTTCTGTGAGTACTCTTGAGTTCAAAGATACTGTTATCAAAAAAGCAAAAGAACGTGGGGATTATTTCGCAAAATTGGTGAAAAGTCGTATAATTTTACAGTATGATTTGATCACTGCTGAAGCGAAGTACCATGCTGCTTGCTTTACAAACTTTTCAAATAAATCATCGCCTCTTGAGAAACCTCGTCAAAATAATCAAGTTACAGAAGCTATGTTAGAGATTTTCAATTACATCGAAAATAATAATGATTCTCAATTCACACTAAAAGAGCTTAAAGATGTCTTGACAGGGTATATGTCAGATGATAAAAACTATCATTACAAGACTACAACAGAAGTACTTAACCGATATCATAATTACGAAGAAAGTTTTAGCTTTCACAATCATTTCTTTCCGTGATGCACAAGCTAATATTCTATCAAAAGCTTGGTACGAAAGTAAAAAAATAGATCCTGAAGCAGAAAGGCTAAGAATTGTAGAAGCTGCAGCAGCAATTAATTGAGAAGATATCCGAACATCTTTAGTTGAAACTAAATCTTATCCACCTTCTAGTAAAATGTTGGATAATGTTAATCAAGAAATTCCAAAAACTTTATTGCATTTCTTAGAAGAAGCCATCGTCAAAAACAGGAAAGGACAAATTGACCATTTAAAAACAAAATGTACTTCAATAAGCCACGCAATTATGGCTCCCATACGGGAACGTTCTTTTTCATCACAGTTACTTTTGAGCCTTTCTGTATTTCTTCACAGAAGATATGGATCTAAAAGTCTATTGGATATTTTATCTAGTAGGGATTTGCAGCTTCTTATAGTAATACGTTACAGTATGAAGTTTCAGCAGTTTATCACCCACAGCCTCGTATTTTCTCATCAGAGTCAGGTGCATTTGTACAATATGTTGGAGACAATGCCGATATAAATGTCCAGACTCTTGATGGTAACAATACTCTTCATGTTACGGGGATTATTAAGACAGTAACTCCAAAAAATGCTGTTCTGTACTAAACCAACAGCGAAAGAGTTGGCAGCCATATCACACGTACCCTTACAAGTTTACGATAAACTAGTCATACCTGGATACAGTAAGTTGAAAATCTGCATGACAGTCGAGCACTAACAAAAAAACAAAAAAAAAAAACAATCAACGGAACTGGTTTTTTGTGATTATACGGAAAATGGGCAAGCTTGTCTCAATGCTCTACCATATCAGAGCGACATTAACGAAGATGGAACTTTTGACCCCGAAATCATGGAAGAACTTGAGACAAATGTCGTTGAAGACGATAATGAAGGCCAGTTTGATATTTACCAGCAGCCGAAAGACGACGATGAAGAGGAAGAAGATGATTAAAATTATAAATTGTAGTTTTTGTACCCGCTACTCCATTTTTTACTTTTAATAAAAATAAATGTATTGAATGATATTTTTTAATAAAAAGATAAATTCATAATTTATTTATTTATTTATTTTTTTTTTTTTTAAGGAAGAAGTTATTAATATTTATTAGGTTTAAATTCAAAAATAATTCCTATATTTTCATTAACAATTCAGCATTTACATGGGCAGGTAAGTGTTGTTAAATAAATTAATACTGAATAAAAAGTAAAAGATTAGGAAAAAATGATAAAATATAATATAATAGTTAATAAAAATTGATAAGTATTTATAATCATTGATTTATCGATAGTTCGTCAACTATATATAGCGCGTTTTTGACCGGAGGTACCGGTTGACCTGAAGTGATGCTGTGACCGGGCGCTCTCCGCCCTCTGTCTCGAAAACGGTTCACCGTATGAAACATTTTTTCAAACAAAATTTGTAGAGGGTTTTGTATTCTGCAATATTGATAATAAATACAAATAGCAAAAAAACCATAAAAAATGAGATACTTACAAAAAAAAAGCGCAAAAACCCGATTTCTGTGACCTTTGACCTTGAAATTTAATAGTTGCGTACACCCTACCATATGTAGGTTTTGAGACAACTTTTAGGGTGTCAATTTGCAAGTATTTACAGACTTACAGCTGGGTATCTCGAATTCCGAGGTGAACTTACAATAATGACTGGACTATGAGGGAATATCAGTTTACGAAGGGGAGGGCATAAGAAGTTACGAAAAAATCAATTACATTCCTCCGTAACATAATGTTCATCGCAGAGTGGTTGCGTCAATACTGACATTGTACACAAATTAAAGAGCGGAACTCTGTACACTTCATATCGGAATTGTACAGTTATGTGAACAAAAAGAGGTAAACATAATTTGCAGCTTTTAGAGTTTCGCATTAATATTTGTTTTTATTAACCTTTATATGGTGGGAAATTCTAATCACTGTTAGGAAAAAATTATGTAAGTTATACTTGTATCTAAAAACAGTTTTATTTAATAAGGAAACAGCACATTTTAAAACTTCACAACACCTATGGTTAATCCTATTTTGTTCACACCACTGTACATGAGATAGAACAGTTAATGGTGGTGATGCCAGTTGTAAAAATTCATTTTAGCTACAATTGGGAAAACTTGTCTCAAGTTGTGGGCTTTTATACGAACATATTCAAGGCAGTTTTATATATCATATATAAAAAAGAAAATATACTTGTGACCATAATACATATTTTTTTTAAACATATTGCAGTTCAATTTCATGAAAATGCTTATATAAATATATGATTTGTGATATTTTCAGTTTGGTTGTTTTATCAAAATATTCAAAGAATTGAGGTTTCTTTCTATAATTGTTCTGTTAAACATTAAAAATCTAAGTTGCCTACGGAAATGTATTAAAATAATAATACGCCCTATAGAAAGGGAACACATATTTTCAAAAATATAAGAAATCATCAAATAAAAATATATTTGCGCGGTATAGCTTTATTGATTGAGAGTGGCTAAACACTTAAATAGAATACAAACACTTAATGGCAGAAACATTGTATTCCGCTTCTCCCTCCGCTACGAGCGGCAAGGGTTTTGTTCTCGCTTTCATGCGAAAAATGTTGCCATTACTCAATATGCATTTGTGGTTTTCCACACATCTAACTTTTCAATTATAATTTTTCATAATATAAAATATCAAAACTGAAATCAAACTATTAAAAATAGTTTATATATATTTTTAAATAATAGCATTCGACTCTAATTTTGAGTTAGTTTAAGAAAATTTCGAACATATTGAAGATATTTTTTATAATTACTACAGTAAATTGAGATTGGCAAACCTGCGTTGTGAGAGAGCAATCTGCTGATTCGTTTCTACGGGAAAAATCCCAAATCGTTGGAAATTCTATGGTAAGCGGGCGGTAGAAGCGGTGTTGGCCAAACATTCACATTGCGCTCTCATAAGATTTATTTTGGCATACATATGTGTTTGAAGAAACAGTGGTTCATAAACTGAAGTTATTATTGAAATTACTTTTTATAAGGAAGTTTAAAGAAATAACCTGTTTTGAAACTTTTTCATTCGAAAATTATATCTATGTTTGGAGGAACCTACACTTGTGAACAATTTTTTCAATAATGAAATTAAACAAACATAAAATAAGAGGTAGGTTATCTGATGTAACTTTTAGAACAATAATACGTGTAGCTACAGCAAATGAGGTTAAACCAAACTTCTTCCTGATAATTTATATATTTACAACTCTATATCTATATCGATTAGTTTTAAGTGATACAAAAAACCGTTAGGTGAACAGACCTTTGTGCAACAAGAGAGTTTTCTGTTGTGATAGTATAAAAATCAGTAAACTCCATTGTTTTAACCACGATGCTAAAAACTTTTCTCTATTTTTTAAGTATCACAAGTAAATCATTGAAATCTTCAGAGTTGATGAGCCGTGGACGAATTTAGAATGTATGGATATTCCGTGATGGATGGCTGTACTACTGGTGTAGTTGATTTTCCAATGCAGGTAAAGGATTTTTATCTCTGCTCTGTATCTTTGCACCTCGTTCCCTCCAAATCATCGGCACTGTAATTCTTTGCACTTTTTCACTTCGGTATTAAAACTTTATTAATATTATCAAAATTGTTTATTTGGCTACTACGTTAAAAAAATATTACACATTATATTCCGCATTGAAAAGAGGTGAATGTTAAAGTTCAAAAAACGTTAGTTAAGTTTAGTTAAGTAGTGAAGGTAGCAATATGTTATCGTTTTACTTAGCTTTTTTTTTCTTCTTTAATAGATAAAATTTGCACCTTTTCCGTTCACTAGAGCATTAACGCTTTGGAGAAGGCCTGCTCGAGGAAGCCGACTACGCCTCTTGATAATGCTTATCCGAGTACAATTTATTTTTCTGCCATTCGAGATTTACTTCGGTATATATTACAAAAGCGTTATTGCATAAATATCTATTAAAATAGAGAACAAAGCAACTGGCCATCAATTTGTTTTCCGTTTGCACGAATTTATATTAACCATTTGATTCATTGTGTCGACTCCCGTCCTGCTATATGGTGCAGAGGCTTGGACGATGACAACAACTGATGAATCGACGTTGCGAGTTTTCGAGAGAAAAGTTCTGCGAAAGATTTATGGACGTGGGAACCAAGTCGCGAGTGCGACGACTGTCTGTTTGATGACAGGAGATATTTCGTCTTTCTCTCCTTCTCTGCCAGACCCATTTGCTTTGCTTCCTTCTCCAGTTTGGAGAAAGCAGAACTAAGGGCACGAATGTTGAGGCCAATAATATCAATGTAGTCGTTCATAGTCTCTCATAGAAGATTTTACCTTGAAGTATATTGAAGAAGCCGCAGGATAGGAAGACGCCTTGTCTGAAACTTTGTTTGATATCGAACGGCTGGGAGAGGTCCGTCCCGATGTCGGATAATTCACGCGCCCTCAAAACGCCATTAATCGAAAGCCTATAGAGTGCCATAATTAAGCTCTACAATAAGGTACAAGGCTTTAATTTAGTACAACGAACTGCCTTAGGAAAGGGAAATTTTTAAAAGTGAAAGTAAAAAAATAATTAAACGAATGAATATCGAAATCATAGCTTTGATTACGGAAGAATCAGACTAATTTGGATATGTTGTATAATAGCAAGCACAACAATTTTCGCCAGTACTTGCATTCAAAATTACTGCTTACAATATGAAATTTTATTGTGGAGTTTTACGCGAAATTAGGACCAAACAGATCAACTTGACTATAAGCCAAGTCGAATTTACGGTGGCATATTGCATATTTTTCACGATAAAAGTGTCTAATAGACCACGCCTATGGCAAAGTTAAAAACTGGAGAACTTCACCATACATCCCCATCTTAACCCGATTTCGGGCGATGTTCTTCTAAGTTCCAGCCGCGTTTTCCTAAAGCTTAATGTATCCACAATAAATTCAAATAAATTGACAAATTCAACTTTCATTTCACAAAGTAAGTGATATTGAGATTAGTAAAATAAATACTAGAAAGACCTGGCACACTTTAACTCAATACATTGGTAATATTCAATTAATTAACCGTGTGTTTTTAATAAATTTATTATTTGTAAGAGAAAACTATTTAGAAAATTGTGAACATAATATATAAAAATATAATTCATAAAAAGTTGAAAATAAACGAACAAAACTAATTTTCATATTTTACTCCTACACAACCTGTACCTACAACGACCTACTCGTTGTTGTCTTTAAATAGAACTATGAATATTGAAATATATGAAAACAGTGAACTATATATGTACATATATATGTATGTATGCATAAGGTAAATTAAGGTGGTTCATTGTTTTATTTTCTATAATAAACTATTTGAGTTATGTAAAGTAGAAGTTTCAATTTAGTAAGGCAGGGACGATACTTTTACTTTTAAATTAAAATCGCTTTTAAATGTTACTTGCAAATTACCACAAACCACCTAGTTTTCCCTGTCTAAAAATTATATTTTTATACAAATGTTATACCTGTAGGCTAGCATAGTTGCCGTTAGACAACAGATTCCCAAAATGTACATTTGCGAGTGCATATTGACTACCTACCGTATTAAGTTTTTTTATATTATCGATTACTGGTACACAACTATTGGTCAGCTGGCGTCGATCACACTTCATGCGAGCACCATTCGCAAATCAGTATAGGTGCCTACCGACACTACAGTACGCTTAATAAAACTGCATCAACTCACAAGAAATTTCTATTTGCATTCTATTACTATATTTGCATATTGTAACATACTGTGTACCGAAGTATAAACGCTGCGTGCCCAATAATACACCAAATAGTATGGTTGACGTTGGGCATAGCTTGGCTTAATCATAATATTAGTGGATAGTAGAGTCTCCCAATCTACAGCTACTTACAGATTGTGCTTTAATTATTAAAACACCAATACCTAATGCTAGATCACCAACGCTAACAGCTATCTTTGGTAATACAGTAAATCTACATACAAACATAAATCCGGTTTGTTTCCACACCATACATATATTTTCTCTTTTTTTAATTTTAACAGTGATGACTCAATAAAGATGTTTTATATTTCACTGACTGTATTTTTTATCCGCATTATTATATTTGTATATACATATACCATTATCTACATATATAGTATGTAAATAAATTTTACTTAATTATTTGTTATTTCTTCAATTTCTTTAAACCTTTGACTTTTTATTAACCTTTATTAGGTAAACCAAAAAAATTTTAGAGTTTCACAATCAAAACGGTATATGGATAATAACGAAGCCCATAATTTGTTTATTTTATGATGAAGAAATTAAATTTTCACAAACATTACGATACGGCTTGAGTTACGCTATAGGCGTATGAACTGGCGGACGAACTCCCCCGCTCCGCAGCCTCCACCAGGATGGTAGGACCCGAACCCTTTACAGGAGTGGGTCCCCACACCATCAAGGAGTTACTCCGTAAAAAGGAAAGAGCAGGCAGGGAAGAGCATTGGCGACAAACTCATGGTATGAGACACGCCAAGCTGCTAATGGGAGGTTACAACCTGAAATGGTTCAAAATAGTAAAAAACCTCCCCAGGAGCAAACTCAGGCTGTTAGTCGCATGGTATAGTGGCCACTGTAAGCTGAATAGGCATATGCACAGCATGGGCCTATCAGCTTGCGCCAACTGCCGTTTCTGCGACAGGGAGCCTGAAACTCCGGAGCATCTGTTGATCGACTGCACAGCAGTCTGTAGGTGCAGAGCCAAGGCCCTTGGAGTTCTATTTCAGGACAGGGATCGCATTGCCTCGCTAGCGCCAAGCAATCTACTGGACTTTATTAATGGGCTGAGGCTAAGCGAGTCAATGTGAGTAAGGAGAGGGCACAATAGACCAAAGGTCGCAGTGCATTCCTCATCATCATTCATTCATTCATACGCTATAGTGAAAGATTCTGATTATTCTGATTCAAATTATAACATAAGAATGTCAGGATAATGAATCCCACTCATCTAACATCCATCTTCCTGTTAGATGATATCGCAACAACTAACTTGCAGTTTGCCACCTAAAATGAGAACAGATAACCGCTACAACAACAACGACAATGTCAGGATATTGTCATGCACCACTTTTTGCTGCAATTGTTTGAGTAGTTCTTGTAATATATTTTTACCTAAATATGGGCGATATGACACCCATTGCCCATTTTATATTTGGTGAGTTGATAGAAGTTGTATTGTTATAAAAAAAGTAATAAATTCATCATCTAAAATATGTCTGGCGGAGTAACAGGTCACATTTCCTGATTTACATCTTCCGACGGCAACATCCAGCGAAGACCAACATTATATGGATGAAAAAATGGAAAACAGTCACATCGCTATAATTGCTCAAAAATTTAATTGTACTTTCCCACATACTATATTTGCTTACAACCCAGAGTATAGAGTGTGCTGCTATGTTTCGAATCATTGTCCTCAGTATTCAGTTATAGTTAGTTTTGCTGTAAATTATTTCAGCTCACTTTAGTAAACCATTTTTATAAATTTTGAAGCTACTCTACTCCCATAGTATTTCGTTTTGCTATTGCTACCGCTCTCATTTTAACGGGGCCCATAGCAGAACAATGTGTTAAGTAAAAAATTACAGCTGTAGCAATAGCCAAAAATGGAGTCCTGTGCTCTGCTCTACCGTAGCGGTAGCAAAAAATTGGAAGCGGTATGAGAGCAGAGCTAATTAAAAAAATATAGCATTAATATAAACGCCATAAGTCCCGACTTAATCCCCATGAAAAATCTCTGGGGATACTTTCGCAGCAAGTTTATTTCGGTGCTACACAATTTGATACTGTTACGAGATTTAAGGAAGTGCATTCAAGCTGAATGGAGGAAAATACCGATTTCCATCATTCGCTCTCTAATTGAATCCATGCCGAGGTGCATAAACGCCGTTATTTTGGCTAGCGGTAGCCATATAAGTTGTTAATACTTCAAATAAGTTTGATTTAATACGAAATATTTGTTTGTACGATATACTTTTTTTGTACCAAGCGATTTGAATTTTTTAATTATTTTTAAATATTGTGTAAATAACTATCGAAGTTTATTCCATTAATAAAAGAATTAAAAAAAGAAATCATATAAACTTTAAAGATGAATAGAAGGAATTTTTAGCTTGTACACAATTTTAATTTATTTTAATTTTATATTTAGTATAACAATAAATAAATAAACAAATATGTACCATATTGATCGACCACTGGTTGCCCCGTTCCCACGACAGTCGGGTCTACGAAAACCGGAACGGACCCGGATTTTTATCCGGCCAAGGACTGTCAACTCGGCAGAATTCTGCCGTTACAACAACAACAACCACTGTTTGCCATTTTTCCGCTAGAGACGTTATTCCATCAGTGTAAAACTTTCAATGTAAATCAAAATTTGAAAATTTCCACAACGGAAGCGTCTCCGTAAACTTCAGAAATTTCATTGGTGGCTTGCGTGGCATTCTTCCTTTCTTTATACAAAAATTTAAAATATAGCGAATTTCTTCATTATTTTCACTCATTTTTGAATAACTGTAACTTTTTTCCAACTCTCCGAATTTATTTTTTGTTTTTTTTTTTTGGGTAAATTTAGCTTTCCAACACTATATGGCATGACACAACGTTGTTGTTGTTGTTGTAACGGCAGAATTCTGACACAACGTGATTGGTAGCGCTGGAGATATGCGACCGCAACGACTTCTTTTGACAAAATACGAAAATACCTTTTCGTCCCAATATTTTACATATAATTTAACTCTCTTCAAAGAGTAGTAAAATGATATAAGCTGGCGTTGTGGAAACCTTGCACAGAGCTTATTGAAAAAAACTTGATAGCAGGTGAAGCATACCGTAGGCGGTCTAACGATTTGAAGGTATATGGCGAGCAACAAAGTGGGCCGAATGAAATTTATTATATCAAATATGGATAAAACAATGCATCGAAACATTTCAAAAGTTAATTTCAAGCAAAATGCCAAGGGATTGATTCTAAGGAACGATTTTCTTCTTCCAGCACTCTCTCGCCAAAAGAGTAGGCGCTGTTCGAGGAGCATTCCAGGGAGGATGACGACGACATGCCGTCTTACAGCGGCTTCCGGCAGACAATAGCAATTGCGACCGCAGATGCAGCTCAAAGCACCACCAGGACCCCCTATAGTAGGCTCAGCTGCTCAGACTCAGGAGAGTCACATCGGGCAGAGACCGATGGTGCACGTAAGAGGCGCAGGAGGGGAGGGCAGCGCCCTCTCCCGGCCCGCCGGGTGCGAAGACTCTCGTAGAAAGGGCATGATCGGTGCCAGCCTCAAGTGGTACCTGCGGCACCTCCCGGATGGAAAGACCCCTGAGGTGGCGGAAGTCCGGGCCAAGAGAAGGAACAAAGGGGGCAGAGCTTCCACTACAAAGGAGCGTGGCCGAAATGCGAGGTGACGGAAGAGCAGTAACCTTGGGGTGGAATTTAATGGCGGCATGTTACAGGTGGACTGCATGGACAAGACGTCCGCAAACTGGCTGCGGGAGTCTGCTTCAAAGCTAGGAGGCTGGACTGGTCGCGTCCTCTGTGCAAAAAGGGCGGAAGAACTACTGGTCATGTACAGTATGACGATGTTCCTCCCCTGGTGCGGAGACCAGCCGTACGAGTTTGCTCTGGGTCTGGTTAAGAACCAGAACCGGGGCCTCAGAATCTCGGCCTGGCGTGTCGTCAGCAGCAAGGTTGAGGAAAAAGGAGACCTGAGAGGATGTAGATTGTACCTGTACATTGGCGACGACTAGTACATGTACGTTCGTGCAGCGAACTTCCGCCTGTATTACAGGTACAGCACGGTAGTCATGAGGCCGCAAAACCCGCGACCACCGGGAGCAAGGAAGCTGGAAAAGCTGCCACACAGCCAAATAGGAGCAGTGCAAAACAGGCTACAAATGAGGCGGCCGCGGAGGTTGAGAGGATGCAAGTGGATGAGGTTGCGAAACAACCCAGGGTAAGCAGGGCTGAGCAGGCTATGCCTACCGCGACCGTTGACGTCCCATGTGGCCAGGGAGCAGAGCTATCCTCCCCCAGACACTCCTCGAAGGACTAGAGTACAATAAGGTAATCTGGGATCTCTCTAGCAAGCGACCTAGAACTTGCATAGTGGTTAGGAATAATATTGAATTTTTCTGTATTTCAGAGTTCCTGACGCAGGATTTGCTGCTGAGGGAGAGCCTCGCAATGGCGTACATCCCTGACTCATGGAGGACGTTTGAGGTGATCTTCATAGCAAAAGTAGGAAGGAATGATTATTCTCTGGCTAAATCATTTCGGAGAATTAGCCTAACCTCCTTCCTACTAAAAACTATGGAGAAGATCATAGACCATGAAATAAGGACGAAGACGCTGAAGACTCACCCCTGCATGCTGCTCAGCACTGTTGACAACACATCTCACAGGAGTGTAGCCAGGGCACTGGAGAGAAGGAATGTGGTCACACAGGTGCGTAGATGAATGGAGGCCCTACTGCACCCCAGAAATGCTGAAACTACAATTAGAGATACAAATATTCGCTGCCCACAGGGAGGTGTGCTATCACCACTGCTATGGAGCCTTGTTGTGGATGACCTATTAGCACAGCTAACTGACAATGATCCGCTGCCAAGGGTATGCGGACGCTATAGTAATTATAGCCAGAGGTAAATTTGAGGACACTCTCTGCGACTTGGTACAACGGGGTTCAAACCTGGCAAAAGGGTGGTGTAGTTGAGTTGCATTGAAAATCAACCCCTCAAAGTCGACCGATGTACCGTTTACGAGACGCAAGTCCTCTTCAATTGTCAAGTTTATTGGTTTGTACATCTGAGCTAAATTGGAATTCAACATTGTCCACAAATCACTAATTGGAGCTGCTTTGTCTTCTTTTTTCGAATCTTAAAAAACCGCAGAATATTATGAAATATCGTCAATCCGTCGAGCGATACAGCGGATAAGAATTGGAGTGCCAGATATAAAAAGTATGATTTGTATTTGAATTATTTGCGCCAGCAAAATGGAATAAATTTGGTAAACGTAACGGGCTACGTTAAATACGGGCTACGGTAAATAATTTCGACTTTCTTGTTAATGTGACGGAATTTTATATGAACAATTAGTTTGTGGGTACCCGGTTACTAAAAGACGTCGGTAAGGGTTAAATTGGTCCTAACTAATAGTGAGTTTTATATGAAAATCTGATTTTTTTAAACTCGTAATTTACTGTCCCAGTTAATCGTGTAAAAAGGAAATCAAGTGTATAAGGTTGTGTCGATAGCCCAAAAATAACATTTTATCATAAGTGCTTTAATTCAAATCGATGGAACGATGAGCTGTACGAGATATACGACGACATTGACATAGTTCAGCGAATTAAAAGACAGCGGCTACGCTGGCTAGGTCATGTTGTCCGAATGGACAAAAACACTCCAGCTCTGAAAGTATTCGACGCAGTACCCGCCGGGGGAAGCAGAGGAAGAGGAAGACCTCCACTCCGTTGGAAGGACCAAGTGGAGAAGGACCTGGCTAAAAGAAGAAACGACTGGCGCGCTGTTCTTAACTCGGCTATAATCGCGTAAGCGGTGTCTACGCCAATTAAGAAGAAGAAGCTTTAATTCAAAATGTCAAAATCAGCCGTTTTGGTTTAATGATCTAAAACTATATTTTTCTATTAAATTAACTAACTATATTATTTCAATTTTTTTTTTTTTTTTTTTTGACATAAAGGATAAAATGGCCCGGATTTCGAGGGGATGTTCTCCAGATTAGGAAAATAAATTATGCACAAACGAGTAAGTATGCGTTTAGCTGGTTCTACACCGATGTTGGGCGTCGAGTGGTAAAAAATGGCGTTATAAAGGAAAAACGTAAAAATTAATTGCAAATTTGTTAGGGCTTTAAGAAAATTTTGTAACTAAAAACTCTAAAGGAAAAATTAAAAGTGACTCGTGGTCCTCTGATTTATTATAGCCATATATTTCCCATGGCAAAAAAAGGACCCCTTCACCACAAATTGCAGTGAAAGTTGAATTAAATCGCGTAAGCGGTGTCTACGCCAATTAAGAAGAAGAATCTTTCAAGCTAGAAAAATTTCTTTTATTAAATGTCCACATACATAAGAGAAAAACTTTTGTCGTACAACATTACAATTTTTTCGGTTCCATTGGAGAAAAAAGGGGTGAAATATTTTATATATAATTTATATCCTGATCTCCATCTGATAAGAATTTGTGGAGTGACCTTAAGAGCAGATTGCCAGCTATTTCAATTCAATATAAGGAGCAAAGAAACTTTGCGATGGATAAACAGTGGAAGCATTAAAGGATACCTTGATTTTTTTATTTTTATTTAAACAAAAAAATACATATAGTATATATTTTACATATATTATTTTGAACAATGCTTTTTCTTATTAAATCTGTTTTAATATTCGTAATAAATTATTTTCGATTTATTAGGTTTAATAAAGTAAATATAACTGAAATAAAACTTGTTTTAATTGTTAATTGTTTATGTATAAGACTTTTTATTTTAAATAGCTTGAAACCCGATTCGTCGAAATATTTTTTTTTCTAGGTTGGTTTGTCCTACCTAAATGGTTTGTTCTAGTAAAATAAAAGAAATTGTGGAATATCGGAGGGATTAGTGAAAACCAGTTTGAGAGGTAATTTGAGCCTAAGAAATATAAAAGCACGACTGGTTCCAAAATCACTCAAATTTTTCGAAAAACAGCGTCCCGTTAAAAATTATTGTTATGTTGACAGTTTTCTTCCATTATCGAAGTGTGGTGCACACCGAATTTGTGACATCCTCCAACTATCAGGGTTGATGCTGCATAGCATCTCTCTTGGGGGCTGGCAGAAGCTGCATGTGTGCGGCGACCAAGAGCTCCCACCTCCTAATCCAGGGTGTTATGCGACTATGGATTGAGTGATCATAATTTGATTCAAATTAAGGTTACCCCCCGATCCCCTCCCTCGCCTTATGTGAGTCCATTGCGGCGATGACGCACCGCTAGTACTGACTGGAACCAATATGGAATCTCGGTTAGGGAAGCGGTATTCAGTATACCGCTTAGAGAATTTGAGGAGGTGGGGTGAACGAGCATATTGCTCGTCTATATGAGGTAGTTTGGGGATTAAATGATAGGGTACTTAGGAGGTGTGAAAGCTATAAGACTAGTAAAATTAAATGTTGGACGCATGAGTTAACCTTGAAGAGGACTGTCAGGCGATTGAGGCGACAGTTTCAACGCGCCCGACGGTCCAACCCTGATAGGCTGTCCCAGCTTAGGTATGAATTTAGTTTGGCGAATAGGGAATATAAGGAGATGTTAGTGAGAAGTAAAGAGGAAGATTGGAGGAGTTTTGTGGATGAGAATAAGAATGGCCCCTGGGGTCAGGTCTATAGGATCTGCCGGGGTCGTAGGAGGGAGGATGTCACGTCTCTTCGCGTCGGTTACACTCTGTTATCGTCGTGGAGAGAGTGTGCGGGGGTTCTGTTAGGTGCGTTCTTTCCTATGTCGAAGGTGCAGGTACCTCACGCACAAGGGATGCCTGTCCTTCCATTAGATGATGGCGAGTTGGGGTATGCCTTTGGCCTGGTTAGGTCTAAACGGTCCCAGGTTTTGATGGTTTCAACGGAGAGATGTGTAAAAGCTTGTGGAAGTTCATTCCGGAATACCTGGAGGCCATTTATAATAAGTGTGTTTGGGAGGCATACTTTCCACGCAAGTGGAAAAGTACTAGGGTTGTTCCTCTCCTGAAGTCCCCTGATAAGATCAGGAGCGATCCTCGTTCTTATCGGGGCATCAGTCTCCTTCCAGTACTTGGAAAAGAGCTGAAAAGAGTCATGGTGGAACGGCTTCAGGAGCTAACGCGGGGTTCAGGAAAGGACGCAGTATAGAGGATGCATGGTTTTATGTTCAGGATGTCGTCAGGGAAAATGTCAACAAGTATGTCCTTTGGAGGACTTATTATTCGGACAGAACGGGAGTGCGAAGAATGGAGTTTGTGGAGGTTCGTGGCTGCCCACAGAGTTCCATCTGCGGTCTATATATTTGGAACCTTATGATGGACACTCTGCTTGGGCAGCTCGAGCCACTCTGTCAGTGTTGTGCGTATGTGGACGACCTTCTTATGGTCGAAGGTCTGAATTAGAACGGGCGGGAGGATATCCCTTAAAGATCGTGAAAACTTGGAGTGTAGGTGTGGGGGTGGACATATCGAGTGAAAAAACGGTGACATTGCTGCTTAAGGGCAGATTGTTACCGGTTCGTCCACCGATTTTCCGTGTGAATGGGGTCAGAATCAGATATGTGACGCAAGCCAAATATCTGAGGTTAACCATGAGTGAATAGATGTGTTTTACTTAACACTTGGCGAATGTGAAGGAGCGACTACCCCGCATTTTCAGGAGCGATTGGGGTCTCTCAAGTCCTGCTGTCCGCACCATATATCGTGGCTTGTTTATGGCCTGTGCCACATATGGAGCCCCTGTATGGTGGGAAGCAGCCACGACTGTGTGGGGGTCTCAAAAGCTCCTCTCAATTCAGCGTTGTATGATGCTTGCTTATTTGCCTGCATATCGCACCGTCTCAATGGACGCGATGTGGGGGTGCACCTACCCCTCTTGACCTGATTATCATGCAGCGTGCTGTTGCATTCATGTTAAAATGGGCTTGAGTGTGTCATTGCTGCGAAATGACTGAAATTAAGAATTTAAAAATTATGAACAAAGTCTTCCTATTTTTTTGTTCCTGGTAGTATATCTGGCTAATGGCAGTAAGAGAATGGTTGCCCTGAACACCCCGGTGTTGGATCGGCCGGGGTTATTTTTTTTTTTGAAGCGCGGACGAAGGCCGCCAGTACAGAAAGGAGTTCTACGGGCACGCAGAAAGGAGTTGAAGCGCGGCGCTGAAAAAAAATAACCCTAGTCGATCCAACACCGAGATGTTTAGAGTTCTTTCGCGTAGAACTCCTTTCTGCAACTTTTTTTCTTTTATAAAAAATTGCTAAGGATTTTTGGCGTTTTTCTTTTATTGACAACTAGGCAGATATGGCATACCATTTATTTGCTAGTATGCAACCTTATTCTTGTTGTGCAAATACAGTGAATTTAACTAAAACAAAATAATTAAAATAATGCTTTATTTGCAATAAATATTAAAGAAATTAATATGCAAAAACATTATAGTGAAGTTAGCAAGTGAAAAGTACATAATATATGTAAGTGAAGAAGTTACTCACAATATACAAATTATCAATTTAAAAGTTGTAAATTTTTTAACTTTAAATGCAAATATCTTTAAAACACACAATTCCGATTTCTTTGTAGCCGCGATCTGAAGGTTCCGTTGGAAAGAGGAAGTCCTCCTGATTAAAAAATATATGGGGTTATAGGTACCGCAAACGCTTAGTTTAGGAGATATTCGACCTTTAAGTTCAAATATTCGCAAAATTCGTACATTTCAAGACGCTATTTCACCACATTAAACAGACTTTATTCACATTTTTCACTTCAAATTAATTAAATTACACTATAAACTTGTAAATAACTCCATATCTTACACTTTTATCAGGTTTTTTACCTAAAAAATCTGCATTTTTTAAATTACATTTTACACTCTTTTTAAGCCCATTTGTTTACCAAAAATTAGACGAAATGGAGTGCTGGGATGTGATGATAAGGCAATTCGTTGAAATTCCTCTTTTTCGCAAAAATTCCTCTATTCATGCATTTGGATATTTTCTTTTTTAAATTTATTAAGCAAATAAGTAATATTATATACATGTATTAGTAATATTATATAATAATATTGTATGTACATATGTATAAGTAATATTATATAATAATATTACGTAATAAAGTGTAAAGTATATTAGTACAGTACGAAAATTCAAATTTTGTTTCAATATGAGTGCATGGTAACCAACAAATATAACCTCTTTATAACCGAATCTCATATTTTAAATATAAAAATTGATGTATTGTCACCTAAAATACAAAACAATGTATAATCAAAAATAAATGGAAACCGCTGACAGATATAATAACTAAATTTTATCCATTTTATAACGAAAACTCAAATTTTGTTTCAATATAAGTTCATGATAACCAACAAATATAACCACTTTATAACAAAAGCTCAATATATTCTTTTATTTTTAACGCAGAAAGGAGTACGGAAAGTACTTGAGCCACCCCGGGTATTCGCCAGGGTTATTTTTTTAAAAAGGCCGCAAACGCAGAAAGGAGTACTCCGCGAAAGTATATGTAAACTGTATATGTGGAAAAGTTTTCATAACTCAATTATAACTTACAAAATGTTAGAAAGTATTTTTTATTATAATTAATGTAGAAAAAAGAATCACGCAAATAAAAAAAAACAAAGAAAGATCGTTAAGAATCCTACATATTTGGTGTTTAAGATGTGGCAACGCTCGTTTTCCTCATAATTGTAAACAATCTAACCTTTGCAATGCCGAGTTCGCCAAGTGATTTTTAAATTAATAAATTTAGGTGAAATATTACAAAATAAAATATTGAAATGTGAACTTATTTCAATGTTTAGAGTGTATATTTGCGGATTGTTTAGTATCACGCCGGTTAAGTATCGTTTATGGAGAAAAACAGCCCCCCTACCGACCCCTTATTGGAAAGAGGAAGGATCTAACTTTTTAAAAACCCCCCCTCGACCCCCTAGAGGCCCTGTGGACCTGTAGGGAGGCCTTTGAAAATGACCAAAAATCAGTGCTTTTGCTCATTTTTCCATACAAACTGAAACCAATGCAGCCCAGCCAACATTTTTGTACCGGCTACGCCATCCACAGTATTTTAGCATTGAACACCTTTTCGCGTTCWCTTCATACATTTATTGCTAAGTGGGTTTAATTTATTCCCTTTTGTTCGTGCTTTCTCGGTAATTTGACAGTTCAAATTAGGCAGTCATTTTGGTTTTCGCATTATTGAACAGAAAAAGGTGTATTTTATTTAAAGATTTACAAAGAAATTAACAATCAAAAGTAATTAAAAACATAACTAGTGGTTTTTATAATTCATAAGTAATATATGTGCCGGAAAATGTATCCATAATTGGTTTGGTACAATGCACAACGGATGAAAATACACTAGCATATACTTAGAAATTTGCAAAAAATAGAATTTTTTAAAGTGAATTTGTGAACCGATTTTTATAAAATATGTTTTAAAACAAATGTCGATAATTTAAGCATACATGTGTTTAAAATTTTCCATTTGGTTCTCTCGTTTAGATACGGTGAGCCAAAATTATCCGGCGCGATACTAAACACAACCCGTATATTTAAATATACAGAGTGAAAAACGTCAATGAATTTAATGGAAGATAGAGAAAAATCTTGTGTTATTAGTGCATATTTTTAAACTTTAATCGTGAAAATTTAAAAAAATATAAGTAATTTTTATATTATTTTTTGATATTCCTCCTCTGGAGAAGCTCCCCTATCCGGACATATCCCATTTATAGGGAAATTCGGTTTTTTTTTACCCCTCTGCCAAAGTAATCGGAATCGTGCCGTCAGCGGCAACAATATATATATATTTTCTTGATCTGGAGAACGCCACCTTTCTAGTGTCACCCATTTTATCCCCGAAATCCGGGGATACTATTCCAAATTTTACCCGAGACTTTCGGACTTCCGGGTTGTAAGTTATTTGAATAAAAATGAGGAAAATAGATAAATTTCAGCGAAAACTTGGCCTTGGCCCCATATAGCCAATATCAGGATTTTCAAACATTTTTTCATGGCACCCGAACTTAGTCCTTTCATTCTTGTTTCACTTATTGTTTGAGTACTAAATATGGTAACACTAATTTTTTGTTTTTTGCATCCACTTTTTTATTTTTATTTACTATATAAATAAATGGATTTCAACGAAAGTTAAATATAGAATTAAAGTTATTTTTGAACTTTTTAATACAAAACAAATGTGTAGAACTGAATTAGACAAGCCATAGGTGGACATAAATTTTAAAAATATTAGTGTAGAATGCATTATAAAGCGGTGAAACACGCATTTTAAATAGTTGATTTTTTGAACTTTAAATTCAAATATCTCCAAAACCATAAATCAGCGGCAACTGTATATCCGCACATACCCATTTGAACACCGAATTCGACGGATGCTATATTAAATTGAAATAAACAATTTAGTAAAGTATAAAGCGGTTTGCATGCAATCGCCGTTGATACATATATATTTTATACTTTTTACCACAACTGATTTATTTTATATGGTTTATTGACTCAAATATTCATTATATTTTTTTTGTACATATTACATTTATATGTACACGCACAAAACCTACAAATACATATGCACACTATGAATTGTAATTTGAAAAAAAAAAAAGTGAACAAATAATTGTAGTCAAACACCAACTGAAAAAATATTCTTCAAATACAGTTCGTAAAATGAAAAAGTACAACAGTGTGAAACAAATTCTTGTGCATCGGTGCTGCCAATCAATCTCGGCATTTCTTTATAACAAATGAATCAGCACAGATCAACATTAACCAACTATTCGTACAATTTAAGATATGATACTTTATATACATAGATGTGTATTGACAACCTTGCTTAAAAATGCACAAATTCAATACATTTAACTTCTTTTGTCTTTATATACATTCACATACACAAGTCTCAATATGTTAAAAGGTGTTCAATACGTGAAAGTAGCCGCTTACTTTTCACCCTTCTTTCAACTGCAGAAAATATAATAAAAAAAAAAAGCGCCTATGCGTTCAGAGCACAATTTTCTATTATTTCCAAAGGACTTCAAAATATTTTTTAAACAAGATGTTAATAATTTATCACTTTTGTGTATCCAAATAACAATTTATTTATTCACACTCGTACACCCGCATTCTCTTTCAAATTATTCGATCGCTTTCCCGTTTTTAAAAGAGTGCATAGAAACTCGCTGAAATATAATCCACAATAAGAGCGAACCAAGATGGGTCGCAGTGTGGATAATATTGACAACCATAGTAACGGGGCATCTCGACAGTATAAAATCTATGTCTTACTAACTGTATTGCCTTGCCTATTGCCTGAGACTCCATATTGCTTACTGCTTTAAATATATGGAATACTAAGTAGTTTGCTGTCACTTCAGCAGTTTAACAGCGCAGTTTTCATTTCTATGAAAATTTCGAAGAGGCAACATATGATTTGTTCCACATATGCCGACGGCATTTTCATTTCGGTAATATGAAATTTAGAAGAGCGAGTATTAAGACGGTTGTAGTATATTATAAAAATAAAGTACATTTTCAATATAACATTTTTCCAAAAGTTAGTATTTAGTTTTATATTGTTAATTTACAGAAACATTATACAAATTGGGTTGGGAATGAGCGAAGTCTTAAATTTAATAAATTTATACTAGCATAAATAAAAAAATCATTGTTCATTTTATATTTATTACATTTAATTAGTATATGAACTTTATGCCACAATAATTATATAGTAGTACACAAATATGATTTGATTATTTCCCAGAAATACATTTGTAAAAAAAGGATCTTTATTACACACAGATTTTGCAATGACAATAGCAGTAGATTTCGCAGTTAGTATGACATAAATTTTATCCTGTCGAGATGCCCCGTAACGGGGCCGTGCCCATTGCCTGTGGCGACTCCATACTGCTTATGGAAAACAATAAATGGAATACTAGTAGTATGCCATATATTGAAAGCAATATACTGGCACTTCAGCAATTTTAAATTCGACAAAAATTTCGGACAGGCACATATTCTATTTGCACATATTAAATTTAGTAAATCAAGTATTAAGACGGTTGTGTCAACAATTACCATGACAGCCAGTTCTACGTACCGGAATTGAATCGGATTTTATCCGACCGAGGGCTGTTTTTTCGGTGATCTAACCCCGTTTGGATCGGTGAGTACTAAGTTGTGTTTGTCGTCATTGGAGCAACGCTTTGCAGCAGGGTTGCTCCGTATCCTCCTGACTCGTGCTGGCATTAAGTCCAACCCGGGCCCGGAGGAATTTTTCTGCTGCATATGCAAAAAGGCTCCATCCAAACGCCACCTCGGTCAGGTGTAATACATGCAATGGATGGAGCCATCTTAAGACCTGCTCATGCCTTAAGACTCACAGGGAGTGGACCATTCGTTACGTGACCCATGTTGGCTGCGCGACACAAGGCTCTAGGGTCGTGCAATCTGCACATAGTTCGTGCGCCGCGCCGCCACTCGACCCGAGTGGCCAACAGAGAACCTCCACGGTAAGGAGCTCACACAGGCAACATAGCTCCCACTCTGACTGCCTGTCAAATGATTGTAGGGGGGAGCTGGCGGAACAGATTGACGATTCGACATTCTGCACAATGAATGACGAAGCCCCCACCAGAGTTATTGGTACCTGTAGTAGCTCGCCTCATATTACCATTGCTAGTGGTGGTCTGATAAATAGCATAACCCGGCGATCTATGCTAACTCTTGCATTAGACCATCTGCCCATAATTATCTCGATCGAGAAGCTTCCTAATTTCGTTTCTGTGAATAACCGTACCTTCATTAACTTTAACAAAGCTAATTGGGTTGGCTTCACAGAATTTACTGAGAGCACCTACAACGCTCTACGTACGTATGCGTTGGCGAACGTCAATTCCGTAGCAGTTACCGCTCTCCTCATCCCGGCTGGAAGAATAGCGGAAATCCGCCCCAATTTCCCAGCCGAAGCAGCCGTTTTAGCTAATGAGCGTGACACTTTACGTGATGCTGATCCCGGGAAGCCCCGAATAAGGGATCTCAATTTGGAGATTTGGCGTATGGTAAACCATTATAGGCGGACGAAATGGATAGAGCTCCTGAAGTCCTGCAACCTCTCCACCGGGGTGAATAAGCTTTGGGCTACTGTCAAAGCTTTGTCTAATCCGCAAAGACATGACGACCGAGTTGAAGTTCAATTCAATGGTCATGCCCCTTCGGACCCGAAGAAGTGCGCGAGCTACTTTAGCCGGCCACTCTTCAAATACCCGATGTGTGGAAAATCGGAAAATTCGTCCCACTACTGAAACCTGGGAAACCCGAAAACAAAGGGGAATCTTATCTCCTCTCCCCAGTAGTGAAGACACTTGAGACCCTGCTACTCCCAACTTCCACTCACCACCTGAGCCTAGGAAGTCACCAGCATGGATTCGGAAAAGTGCACATCCCCACCATTGCACTTAGCGTCATAAACGCTCAGATAGTTCGTGGCCTCAACCAGAAACCACCCTGTGAGAGAACGATCCTCGTAGCGTTGGATTTGTCAAAACCTTTTGACCCAGTCAACCACACAACGCTAAAAGAAAGTCCGTCTGTCAATAACCCTAAGATTTTAGGTGTAATGTTCGATAGTCTATGCTCCTTCTCTCCCCATACGACCGCGATTATCGCCAAAGTACAGAAGCTCAACAAACTTCTCAAGTCGCTAACCGGAGCACATGGGAAAAAGACAAGAAACGTTGTTGGCAAACGAAATAAGGATTACGACTTGACAGCATGCACCTGGATTCTCAGGTCCCTTAATTGCTAAGGTGCCGCCTCCCAGCTGGTTGATGCGCAAATTCGGTGTGGTATTCGTGGTGGGAGAGAGACTCCGTCGCCGAATACTATCATTTACTTAGGTGAATGAACGTCTAGTCACGATCCTCATTAAAGCGAGGTTCTTCAACATATCGCTGATTTGCGCTTACGCCCTGACGGAAGAGAAGGACGATGTAACCAAAGATGCCTTTTATGAGTGCTTGGAAAGCACTTTTGAGAGATGTCAAAATCGTGCTTGACGCCTTTAACGCCAGGGTGGGTAAAGAAGGTGTCTCTGGTACTCCGGCGGTAAATTCAGCCTCCACGAGGAAACATCCCCAAATGGGTTGAGGCTGTTCTACTTCGCTGGGGCCCGTAATATGGTTATCTGTAATACCAGATTCCAGTATTCTCTGTGCAGCAAAAAACGAACGTCAACAAACACAAGGAAAGTTCGACGTCGAGAAGCTGCAATCATAAAAGACAGTCGATCGATTTCTTCTCGGCTTGCACTCCTGCTCTCTGAGAGCACTTATAAACAACTCGATATAAGGGAACTGTGGGATGGCATTTCAAGCTTCTACAGCTGCAAATGGTTTTTAGAAAAAGCAAAAGAACAGCTGTTACGAAGAGGAGTGCGGTGTTGCAGCGGAGAGGAAACAGACTGCCCACCTCGGAACGTTATGGGATAGAGAGTTGAAGAGGGAACCGAAACGAATATGCAGATAGAAAAAAAGAGGCCGAAATGAAGAGCTTGACAACTTGGCCGACAGGGATAATGCCCAAAAATTCTACGAAAAATTGCGGCGGCTAACAGAAGGTTTCAAGACTGGAGCATACTCCTGTAGAAACCCTCCAAATCTGCCCCAATTACCGTGGGATAAGCTACCGTCAACAAATTGATTGGAACTTATCAGTGTGGCTTTAGACCTGCAAAATCAACAAACGACCAGATATTCACCAAACGTCAAATCTTGGAAAATACCCTTGAGAAGAGAATCACACCCCACCTCTTCGTCGATTTTAAAGCTGCTTTTGACAGCACGATAAGGAGCTGCCCCACAAAATTAATACGGTTGTGTAAACTGACGTTGAGCAACACCAAAAGCTCCGTCAGTATCGGGCAGGACCTCCCCGAACCGTTCGATACCATATGAGGTTTCAGACTAGGCGACTTCTCCAATCTGCTCTTGAAGAAAATAATTCGACTGCAGAAATAAATATAGCAGGTGCAATCTTCTATAAGTGTGTACAGATGCTGATGTATGCAACACTCGCGCCGTTAGTTCTGCTTTCTTCAGACTGGATAAAGAAGCGAAGCAGATGGCAGTGCAGAAGGGCATAACGAAATATCTGTCATTAAACAAACAGTTCTCGCACTTGCGACTAGGCTCCCACGTCACTGTTGACAGCCATATGGACAGTCAGCATGGAAATCCAACGCAGAATAACTGTTGCCAACTGCTACTTTGGACTGAGTAGGCAATTGAGAAGTAAAGTCCCTTTCTCGACGAACAAAAACCAAACTCTATAAATCACTCATTATTCCCGTCCTGCTATATGGTGCAGACGCATAGACGATGACAACATCTGATGAGTTGGGCTAAGAAGTTTTCAAGAGAAAGATTTATGGTCTTTGCGCGTTGGCAAAGGCGAATATAACATCCGACGGAACGACGAGCTGTAACAGTTAAACGACGACATTGACATAGTTCAACGAATCAGGAGACTGCGGCTGCACTGGCTAGGTTATGTCGCTCATATGGACAGCAGTTCTGAAAGTATTCGACGTAATACCGGAGGAATATCTCCTCTCCGTTAGAAAGGGAAACGACTGCCGCGCTGTTGTTAACTTGGCTATAATCGTATAAGCAGTGTTTAGGCAAGTAAATAAGAACATGATGAATATTGAATTTAGTAGAGCAAGTATTAAGACGGTTGTGTTAAAATATAGAAATAAAGTACATTTTCAAAATATAATTTTTCCAAAAAATTAAATTAATTATGAGCGAAGTGTTAAATTTAATAAACTTATAGCATAAACATAAATCAGAATATCATTACATATTATATTTATTATTTTGGTTGGTATATGAAATTTATGCTATAATTATCATAGTCCAAAATATGAAATCCCTTTTTTTTCAAGAAATACATTTATAGAAAAAAGTATATTTATATATATATATATATAAAAGTATATTTATATATATATTTTTTTTTCCACATGTATTTTCTTCATCCATATAAAAATTTAAACAGTTCAAGAACTCATACCTACTTTACCAATTTTTGTGCAAATGATTATGTTATGATAACAGATCCCCGTTGCCAAGTATCACGATAGGTTAAAATTTATGGCATACTAACTGTCAATTCTATTGTTATTGTCGTTGCCAAATCTGTATGTGGTCATTTGTTATCATAACATAATCACAGGGATAATGGCAGAGATAATGGGATGTTTAACTCCTCTCTCACTGGAAGTGAGAGAACAATTGCTAAACGTCAAAACCACCTAAACTTTGACAGTTGATCGAGTTTAGGATTTTTTGACGTTTAACACTTGCAAACGAGCGATGGCCAGATTGAAACCTTAGCGAAAAAATACGTAAGCGGAGGGATTTGTTGCATCGTTCAATACCACTTGTAAAAAATGTAAAACAATGATAATTAAATAAATTTGTGAAATTTAAAGGTTTTGTAATTAGAAGCATCATAGTATTATTTTCAATGGAAAATGATTAAAAACATTTAATGATTGAGAGCTAACAAGCTTAAATCCTTTTATTGGATATTCAAAGGCCAAAAGTCAGTTGTTCTAATATACTTTAAAAAGATTTAAATAGTTTCTCCATATAATATCTGCTCGAAGGATTGCCGCCAAACGTGCGCCTATACTCTCTTTGCACCGAAACTACGGACTCCAGTGCGCGATAGCGGCGAACAATCCAAATTAACGTTTCAGTGTCCCATTTATCCATTTTTGTTAAATGTAAAAGTCAATATGCAAAATAAAAAAAAAATTAACCAGATTCATTAAATAGAAAAAAGTTATTTAATTTTTTTTGGTAGCGGCTTTCATCAGCCACCCGTATCTTATAAGAGCGAAATGTAAATGATTAGCCAACACCGCTTCTACCGCCCGCTTTGCCTTACAATACCGTAGAATTTCCCACGATTTGGATTTTTTCCGCAGAATCAAGTCATCTGATTGCTCTCACAACAAAGGTTTGCCAGTCTCAATATGCGGTAGTAATTATAAGAAATTCTTAAATATGTTTGAAATTTTCTTAAACTAACCCAAAATCACAGTCGAATACTATTATTTTATAAATATATACACTATTTTTAATAGTTTGATTTTAGTTTTGATATTTTATATTATGAAAAAATGTTATTGAAAAGTTAGATGTGTACAAAACTATAAAGCGCATATTTGAGCAATGGCAACATCTGATTTCTACATTGCTACTATTGCATCAACTAAGGAAGTTAGGAGCGGAATTCGCTGTTTCTGTCATTATACTGGTCACAAATGTTTAGTTTACGATTTATTCGACTTTAAAGTACAAAAATTCCATTTCAACAAGCTATTTCACTACGTTTAACACACTTTAAGCACATTTTTCACTTTAAATTCATTAAATTAAACTGTAAAAATTCAAACAAACTAACATTTTACACGTTTTGCAGGTTATAGGGCATCATTTAAGTGCAGCGAGGAAATGGAGCGCTGCCATATGATAATAAGGCAATTCGCTGAAATTCCAACTTTTCGCTTAAACTTCTTTCTTCGCTAAAATTCCTCTTCCTTTATTTAGCTTAGACAAAACTCTTGTCCACTTGCCATTTAACAATACTTAATTTTCCAAGTGTCCTTAAGGTTTTTACTCTTCTGCGTAAAATTTTTCGAAATCGGGCTAATACTTTTCAAGAACCCAATCACCAAATATCTGTATATCAATAGTGCATTTGCTGCTTTTATAATGCTGATATCATCAATTGGTAGGTATCAGAGACCTGCAAAAATACTATAAAATCAATTCAGTTCATCATAGACAACATGGTTGAATAATTCGAGTACCCTCCAGCAGGTATCTGTTCCTCGGGAATCACAATCGAGTAGGTATGGCTGGCTTCGGTTCACATCGTATCATGTCAGTTCATAGATGATACGATTGTTTGAATCGATGTGAAACTGCGGGTAAACTACAAGTCCAGTGAGAATTTCATGACATTTCGTGGATTGGTAGTGAAGTTAATTGCGTTTTAAGTGTCCGTATGCTTGTGTTATCGGTGCGTAAATGAGCTTCGAACAAAGAGCCAATATTAAATTTTGTTTTAAAATTGGTAAAATTTTTACCGAAACATTTCAATTGATGAAGCAAGTTTATGGCGATGATTGCCTATCCCGTAGTAAACTGCAAGAGTGGTTTCAACGTTTTCAAAGTGGTCGTGAGGATATAAATGAACAAGGGCCAATCAAAATCCTTGATCACTGGAAATCTCATCGAAACTGTGCGTGAATTCTTCAAAAATCAGCCGAAATCATCATTGAAATTCATGGAAATGGCATTGAACATCTCCAAAACATCGATTTATCGCATTTTGACCAAACATTTGGGCTTACGAAAGGTGTGTGCACGGTTTGTTTCGCACAAATTGACTGACGACCAAAAATTGTTCAGAATCTAACATTCGAAGGAAATCATTAAAGAGATCAAAAAGGACAAAAACTTCCTTTACAATATTGTGACTGGTGACGAAACGTGATGTTTCTAATATGACCCGAAGCGAAACGCTAGAGTGCTGAATGGAAGACACCGGACGAGCCGAAACCCAAAAAATCGCGCATGGAGAAGTCAAAAGTGAAGACAATGCTGATTTGTGTTTATGATTCCAAGGGCATTGTCCAGAAAAAATTTGTTACATCCGGCCAAACCGATAATGCGGTATTCTACCTTGGAGTTTCGAAGCGTTTGGTGCGACATTTTAACCATTAACCACTCCCGTAGAGGCCATTCAAAAGGCTTGCACCGGCATACTGGCGGCCATTCCGGCCAACGATCTAAAACCCTCGTTCGACATGCTTTTGGACTGTGCAAAACCTGTATTGAAGACGAAGGAGACTATTTTTAATAAAATAAATTGATTTTGCCGAAAAGACCATTTGTTCTGTTTTTTTAAGTCCTGTATACTTTGGAACGCACCTTGTGCGAGTAAATCTACGAGCACAAAAAACAACAAAAATTTTCTGCTGGATTGATTTGAATCATGTGTGGCAAAAAATGTATCAGCTTTGAAAATGTGCGCTTGTATCATATTTTTGATCCCTAAACAATGGAAATTCCATGGAGTACGCAGATACATACATTCATACATTTATTGTATGTATGTACTCGATGGAATTTCCATTATACATATATACATATGTATTTGAAATAGAACAGAAGTGCACGAATAAATCAGTGTTTAGGGGATGATATATATACAAACCGAACGCCGAATGACTATGATGATTCGTTGAAGTAAGGGTATGTATAACATTTCGGGTATTTTCTGCTAATGTGAACAAATAATCTACATATAACCTGATCACTAGTGGTTTAAAGTTGTTCCCTATCGCTGATAGTCGGTTTGATTCGTCTACATGAATCGAACTGACAGAATCAAACAGTGTAACGGATCAATACCCGATTATGAACAAAAATTTATTAATCGTTGTAGTTCTCTGGTAGGTGTACATGTTTGTAATTTTTTTTATTGAAATGTTCTGCGATTGACAGGCCCTTACCTTAACTTAGTGTTGTTCAGGGGCTCATTTAGACTCCTCAACTGTTGTGAGTAGCTCTGCGAAGCACTACTCAAATGGGTTACCAAAGTACGTACGTTGACCTCGAGCTGCCAACTCCCATTACAGTGTTACACGTACCGTGCCCATTGAACTTGTTTTCAGGCAGAAGGTAAATTCGGCCTTGAGAAGTAGCACCTGTGACCTTATCGCGCAATATAAAAGGAAAGACACCAGTTTCTGAAACGGATGAGCACAATCATCAGCGGAAGTGATAAAAACTCGTGATGTGAAAACACCAGCAGCTAACTCTTAAATTGCAGCTCAGTGAGAAGCGGCTCTAGCCGCGGAAAACACCGGCATCGCTGGCAGCGGAGGGCTTTAAAGGAGAGTTTGACGACCCAACGAGAGCTGGAATGAGTGGAGCCAGTGTAAGATGGTTTCTCTGGCCTTTACGGGAAGACAAATCACTCACCAAAGCCGACTCCACACTGGACAGGGACAGAAGGAATAACGATTCTCCTAAAAGAATTGAGAGTGAAAAATTAAAGCCCACCCACTAAAGTGAAAATTAAGCCCATTACAGCCCAAAAACTTGAACTCGCTAAAAAGCACTATAGCGGGCATATTACGCCAAATGCTTTTGAGAGGAAGAGGTACAAGGCGCACGCTCATCCGCAATCACCAAGGGGAGATGCGGTGCAAGTGAACAGTAATGGAGGAGATTTAGTACTGTCATCGGCTTATTTCCTTGGCAAGTTGAACGAAGAGCCAGTGGCGGAGTAAAAAAAAATTCGACAATATATCTTGAGAGTCACTTAGATATAAGCAATGTTGGCCGCCAATCAACCTTCATGACCAGGATTAGGGAAGAGATACTGGCTATCACTCTCAGTAATAACCTAGAATGGATGTTCCCAATCACAAAGCATGATTTCCATAGATACTTCACGATTTCGAAAGCTACCAGTGCATTAATGAAGAGCAAACGTTTAGTCCGTAGAACCTGGGGTTGCAAACCAGGTATGCTATATAGTACTTATATACTCAATGATAGTCATACATGGGGCGACTTCTTGGGTGCCAAGAGTCTCATTCACAATTGTTGAGAGACAGTTGACGAAAGTCAGTCCAACCGCTGCACTAGAGGTGACTCTAGACCACACTTATGGAGCGAGTAGTTGCGGAAATGCTCCAAAAAGGTAGTAGTTTTTCACAGTAATATTAAATGGAGAGTAAGCGGTTATCTTCCATTTTCACACTGTCGGTAGGAGTTCTTATAGTTTTTATGTCGGGCGTTAGGTTAATGTACCTTTAGTTCGTTAGAATAATACACATTAAAATTATTAGAAGGCGAAGCCACGCCCACTACCTCAAAAATGTTTGCCCACAAATGCCCTTGTTACTGCGATCCTCTGTACTAAATTACAGTTTTATATCTTAATTTAGTGCTTAGTTATGGTACTTTATATGTTTTCGGTTAATGGGAAATTGTGGGTGTGGCAGTGGCCGATTACGCCCATTGACGACCTGGTAAGTTTCCAATAAAAACTGTCCAAGCTTCTAAGTACGTATATCCCTTAGCACCCAAATACTTAATATAATGATTTTATTCTTCCGGGTGACTTTGTACCCCATATGTCTGACAAAGTGTGAGTTATCAGAATGAAAACAAGAGAGCGTGTTTTAGTCATAACAGTGTACCATATATTTGTGACTAAAATAAATACATTTCAGCGAAAACTTGGCTTAGACTCTATATAGCTAATATCAGGATTTTCGGATATTTTAGAGTCTTGTTGATTATGGGGGGCAGTTGCCCTAACTATTGAAATTTCCTCTTGAAAAGTGGTAACTGGTTCTGTAACTAGTCCACTTTGCGTTTCACAGTGCAGCGTTTGAGCTTTTTATGCTTTGAGTACCATTTGTCTTGGAAATTTTTAGAATTGTGGATTTCGGTATTTGCTTTTGCAATTAAGCTCGTGGTTCTTTTTGTATAAGCGCTTTTCGGGTTGTATGAAGCATTAAATGGTATCTTTTATGTCAATATAGGCAATTTGTTTAAATGAGTTAAGCCTCCCCTATTTACCCAGGATAAAATGGCGCACCCTAACAAAACTGTATACACCACATGATCACCAAAACACCGCATCTGGGAACAAATTGGAAACTAGTATACCATATTCGATGACAATACACTGCGTTTACAACAACCCTCCTGCGCGTTACAGTAAGCCTTTGGTCAACAGCGATCTGGCGCGCTATCTACATACGCTCGTTTATGTTGGTTACCCAAATAATTGAATATTTAATGTTCATAAAATAAACTTTGTAAAAATACATATAAAGACTTAATAAATTACTGGTTACAAAATTAAACATGGTTCTTCGAGCCTCAACGACAGGCACTGTAAATTAACAGAGAAGTGCAGCAATATAAATACGTATAACCATAATAGTGGGGTGACCAACTAAGAAACAAAAATAAAAACCCCAAACAACAAAGTGCAGTGACCCAAACCGAACAAAAAAGAAAAAATATACATATGTATATCAGTGAGGTGACAAAACTGTGAACAAAAACAGAGTGTATTTGAAAAAAAACAAAAAAGCAACAAACGCGCGTAATCTAAAAACAAAATATAAATCGGCCGTGAAATAGAAAATTAAAATAATATCTTGTGGGCGCGAATCGCAACAAAATCCAAGAAGTACAAAACTGCAAAATAGGGCGTGAATTAACCAAACAGGAACCAAAAATACAAACAACAACACACTCAAGAAGCCCGTAAGTAGCTGGAAGAAGAGAATTTGCAACAAAATGTATGTAAAAATACGTTTTTATCGATATTATAAAAACCGTATATCAAAATCCTGCAAAAAAAAATTACCAAACTGTCACAATTTCA